ATGTGGTGGTTTCCACCATTCATGCTACAACTTCACTCTGTTGGTCAGTTCAAACGCCTCGCACAAGAAAGTATTTGCAAGATGGGTGGATGAGAAAACCAATTGCTCCATGGTAATTTCAACAAGTTCAGGTCTTTGAAACCTGCTGAAAACCAAATATTAACGGGCCAACAAACACCTGGAACAAGTATCATCTGACTGTGACAGAGCATTCCTATTAAGTGTGTCCTCTGTGGGCTAATTGTTCAAGTTACTCAAGCCTCCTAACTCTCACTGATTTTGTATAATGTTTTGTTTCACAAGCAATTGTCCATGTTTATTCATTTCCCTATCTAGCTTATTGCACTTGCAAAGAATAAACGGGAGGCAACGTTTGAATGGTCACATAATACCCATAAGAGAATTAATTACTTTTATACAGGATCTAATTCATACAGGAAAAAAAGGGAGGTGTGGGATTTTGGTTTGTTTCCCCAATCATACTTTCAAAATCAGTTGCAAGAAATTGCATACACACCTTGTACCTAAGCAAATATTCAGTATGCACATCCAAGCATGTTCTGTTGGCTGGCTACAAAACTAACCTGGTACTTGCTAATGTAAAAAATTGGATATAAGGAAAAGATTTATGCAAAACTAGACATTCAAGCTGCATTAATTTAATTGAACTAAAAAATAACAGAGGCAGCATGATTTTATACACCACAGTTCCCAACTATAAAGCAACTTTTGCAGTTTCTATAAAAACTATTTCAACAAGCACAAAGAACATCCAAAAATTCTTTAAGTACTCAACCAACCCTCATGGCATTATTTTCTTTAGTTACATAATTCATCATGAGCTGGGGACTCCGTGACCAAAGGTCCAAACAAAACCTATGAATTCACCCCATCTCTAACCACATTACTTTTTCCCATGTTACTATTGATTAACACAGAGGGGGGCGTTAACTTGTAGCCAAAAAAAGGTGTTCAAAAGGCCTACCTCACTCTCAGCAGGGACAAGTTCTTCATCACGGAAGTAACTCTAAATATGAGCCTTCATTTCCCAGGAATCACAAAAGTATGCTGGCGATCCTGAAGAAGCCTGACGTTATCTTGTTGGTTATTTAAAAGCCAAGGCTCTGAGTCTGGAAGACATTTTTTGCTAATTTCAGTAATTAACTGAGTCAGCTGAGAAACACCAGGCTGGTGTTTTCCAGGGCTCCAGAAGGATGGAGGAATGCAGGAAGATGCTGCTGTCAGAAGCTTCAAGCAGGCAGGTGACTCGGCCCGGGAAATGACTCCTTTGTCACCAATGGAAATGCTGGCAGCTTCACCATACACACCTTCAGGAAGATGCACGACTGCAGAGTCAGGCAATCATAAAATATTACACTTCCAAGAGCAAAATTAATTTTAGTATCTGTCCACTATATGCAAAGCATTTCCTTTGGCAACATGCATTGGGTTGGCTATTGGCTGGGCCCGGGGCACAGAGTCATAGCAGCCGCACCTCTGTCGGGCCGCTGGATCTGGCCGTCCTTACCTACCAGGCTGAGGGAGTTGGGCTTGTTCAGCCTGGAGAAGAGAAGGCTGCGGGGAGACCTGATTACGGCCTTTCAATACCTAAAGGGGGCCTATAGGAAAGATGGGGAAAATCTTTTTAGTAGGGCCAGCTGTGACAGGACAAGGGGTAATGGTTTTAAACTAAACCAGGGTAGGTTTAGACTAGATCTAAGGAAGAAATTCTTTACAATGAGGGTGGTGAACCACTGGAACGGGTTGCCCAGAGAGGTAGTGGAGGCCCCATCCCTGGAAGCATTCAAGGCCAGGTTGGACGGGGCTCTGAGCAACCTGATCTGGTTAGCGGTGTCCCTGCTCCCTGCAGGGGGGTTGGACTAGATGGCCTCTAGGGGTCCCTTCCAACCCAAAACATTCTATGATTCTATACCAACATGGGCGTATCTGCCACTCTTCCCATAAATGCTGGTGTCTTTCCAAAGCTTGTACTTCTAAAAATTGGAAATAACAGTAACCTTTACATCTATCCTAGTGGATAAATCCTCCAAGTGTTACCTATCGATCATTTGCATGGAAAGGTTTATGCCGCAGTGCTCAGGCGTAACAGCATGCAGCTCCGTGTATCCATTTAGCTACCCCATTACAAAACAGGGGCTTTGCAGAGCTCTTGAACCAGGGCACTTCTTTGTTTACAAAGTGCAGAAAAGTACAGCACTGGTGCGGACAGCGTGGTTTCCAGGCAATCCAGGATGGCTCCTTTACAGACCAAACCCCTGCACCGCCTGCTCACCAGTGGGGCGGGAAAGGGGCTCACACAGGCAGTAGGGTTCCCGAACTAACCTCCAGGCAAACCGGGGGGGGGAATGGTGGCACCGCAGCGTTTCGCTCTTCTCAACATTCTCAGCCA